ACCTGGGAAGGAAGGAATCCCACTGGAGCATTGCAGCACACCCAAATACCTGGGAGTTACTCCGGACTATGCTCTGACCTACAAGAAGCACTGCCTGAACATCAAGCAAAAAGTGGGTGCTAGAAACAATATCATACGAAAGCTGACTGGCACAACCTGGGGATCACAACTAGACACAGTGACGGCATCTGCCCTTGCGCTTGGCTACTCTTCTGCTGAGTACACATGCCCAGTGTGGAATAGATTTCACCATGCTAAAGCAGTGGATGTGGCTCTTAATGCGACATGCCACATTATCACAGGATGTCTGCGCCCTACACCACTAGAGAAATGATACTGTTTAGCTGGTATTGCAGCACCGGACATCTACCAGGAAGTAGCAGCCAATAGTGAAAGGACCAAGGCAGAGACATCTCCGGCCCATCCTCTGTTCAGATATCAGCAAGCATGCCAATGACTTAAATCAAGACATAGTTTTCTAAGATCTACAGAGACAGTTGCAGGAACACCTCAGCAAGCGAGAGTCCAAAAGTGGCAGGCTCAAACCCCGAATCTTAATCAATGGCTGATACCAGATGAGAGACTCCCCCCTGGGCACACAGAAGATTGGGCAACTTGGAAGGCGCTGAACAGACTGCGCTCTGGCACCACGAGATGCAGAGCCAACCTTCAGAAATGGGGCCACAAAGTGGAATCCACAACATGCGAATGCGGAGAAGAGCAAACTACAGGTCATTTACTACAATGCGGCCTGAGCCCTGCCATTTAATAGAAAGCCAAGTTTGCAAACTTTGTGTTTTGTTTGTTTGAAATAATAACAATAATGTCAAAAATTACAGAAATATAATGAAATAATGTAAAAAATCAGATGAATAATAATTGCATTAAAATAAAATAATAATCTCATTTAAAATATATATAAAATAATTACAGAAATATTATGAAATAACGCAAAAATACATAAATAATTATGTGAAAATAATTTCCTTTTAAAATAATAGGGTGTTTTGTTTTTGTTTTGTCGTGTCAGGAGAGACTTGAGAAACTGCAAGTCGTTTCTGGTGTGAGAGAATTGGCTGTCTGCAAGGATGTTGCCCAGGGGACAATCTGATGTTTTGATGTTTTATCATCGTTGTGGGAGGCTTCTCTCATGTCCCCGCATGAGGAGCTGGAGCTGATAGAGGGAGCTCATCCACGCTCTCCCCGGATTCGAACCTGCGACCTTTCGGTCTTCAGTCCTGCCGGCACAAGGGTTGAACCCACTGCGCCACCGGGGGCTCAAAAATAATAGTAATATAATAATAATAATAGTAATAATAATGTCAAAAATTACAGAAATATAATGAAATAATAAATAAGTAAAATAATAAATAATAAATAATAATAATAAATAAAAATAAATAATAAATAAGTAAAATAATTTCAATTAAAAAATATAAAATATAAAATAATTACAGAAATATTATGAAATAGTGCAAAAATACATAAATGATTATGTGAAAATAACTTCCTTTTAAAATAAAATAAAATAATAATAATGATGTCAAAAATACAGAAATATAATGAAATAATGTAAAAGCTCAGATAAATAATAATTGCGTAAAGTAAAATGATAATTTCATTTCAAAATTAAAATTTAAAATATAAAATAATTACAGGAATATTATGAAATAATGCAAAAATACACAAATAATTATGTGAAAATAATTTCCTTTTAAAATGAAATAAGAATAAGAATAATGATGTCACAAATTAAAGAAATATAACGAAATAATGTTAAAAAGTCTGATAAATAATAATTGTGTAAAGTAAAATAATAATTTCATTTAAAAAATAAAAATAAAGTAATTACAGAGAGATTAAGAAATGATGCAAAAAACATAAATAATTATGTGGAAATAATTTCCTTTAAAAAAAAAATAATAATGATGTCAAAAATACAGAAATATAACGAAATAATGGAAAAACTCAGATAAATAATAATTGTGTAAAGTAAAATAATAATTTCATTTAAAAAAATAAAATAATTACAGAAATATTATGAAATAATGCAAAAATACGTAAATAATTATGTGGAAACAATTTCCTTTTAAAATAATAATAATGTCAAAAATTACAGAAATATAATGAAATAATGTAAAAAAATCTGATAAATAATAATTGCATAAAGTAAAATAATAATTTCATTTCAAAATAATAAAAATATAAAATATAAAATAATTACAGAAATATTATGAAATAATGCAAAAACATAAATAATTAGGTGGAAATAATTTCCTTTTAAAATAAAATAAAATAAAATAATAATGATGTCAAAAATTACAGAAATATAACGAAATAATGTTAAAAAGTCTGATAAATAATAATTGTGTAAAGTAAAATAATAATTTCAATTAAAAAATTAAAAAATAATAATTACAGAAATATTATAAAATAATGCAAAAATACATAAATAATTACGTGGAAATAATCTCCTTTTAAAATAAAATAATAATGATGATGATGATGTCAAAAATTACAGAAATATGTAAAATAATGTAAAATTATGTGAAAATAATTTCCTTTTAAAATAAAATAAAATAAAAATAATGATGTCAAAAATTACAGAAATATAATGAAATAATGTAAAATACTTGCGTAAAATAAAATAATAATTGTATTTCAAAATATAATATAATAAAATAATAATATCAAATAATTACCGGAATGTAATGCAACAATGTTTTAAAACGACATGAATAGTCGTACAAAATAACCCATTAATTGACAATGTCCGGAGGGGCCGAAAGCGTGGCGTGAGCGCCATTTAAGTGGGGGAAGCGCCGGGAGGGCTTTGCAGGCCTTTGGGAGGAGGTGACACTCACTCTTGACAGCCTCTTCTTCCCTGCAGCTCATTAAAACTTTTGCCTAAAGACTATTATTAATATTACTATTATCATGTCCTCGGAGGAGAGGCGCTAGGAGGCTTCCTCGTCTCCTTTTGGCGGGTTTTCGGGGTTCGGAATAATTGGCCGTCGCTGCGCCCTGATCAGAATAAAATATCATAATACAATAATATCACTTGATGAGGACGGGGAGTGTTCCCCCCCAGAAATTGAAATAATCAAGGCTTTTTGCTTCTTGGCGGCGGATCTGTCAGCATTCGAGGGACAGAAAAACCATCCCATGGAATGACATCCCTGTATCATGCAGACCTAGAGTTGGGAGGGGTCCCCAGAGGACATCCAGTCCAGCCCTATTCATGTCAAGCAGGGGCGGCATGTCCATTACGCAAAGTAAGCGGTTGCGGTACCCTTTTTTTGCCAGGGGTGCAGAGGCGCCTCTGTAAATGCCCCTCGACCACCACTTGATCCCTCCTGAGAGATGGCCATAGATAGGTAGATAGAGGAATGATAGATGTATCATGCAGACCTAGAGTTGGGAGGGGTCCCCAGAGGACATCCAGTCCATCCCGATTCATGGCAAGCATGAGGGCACAACTTGATCCCTCCTGACAGATGTCCTTAGATAGATAGGTAGATAGATAGATAGATAGATAGATAGATAGATAGAGAGAGGAATGATAGATGTATCATGCAAACTTAGAGTTGGGAGGGACCCCCAGAGGCCATCCAATCCATCCCTATTCATTGCAAGTATGAGGGCACCATCTGATCCCTCCCAACAGATGTCCTTAGATAGGCAGATAGATAGATAGATAGATAGATAGATAGATAGATAGATAGATAGATAGATAGATAGAGGAATGATAGATGTATCATGCAAACTTAGAGTTGGGAGGGACCCCCAGAGGCCATCCAGTCCATCCCTATTCATTGCAAGTATGAGGGCACCATCCGATCCCTCCCGACAGATGTCCATAGATAGATAGATAGATAGATAGATAGATAGATAGATAGATAGATAGATAGAGGAATGATAGGTGTATCATGCAAACTTAGAGTTTGAAGGGACCCCCCAGAGACCATCCAGTCCATCCCTATTCATGGCAAGTGTGAGGGCACCATCCAATCCCTCCCGACAGATGTCCATAGATAGATAGATAGAGGAATGATAGATGTATCATGCAAACCTATAGGGGCTCCCAGAGGACATCCAGTCCAGTCCTATTCATGTCAAGCATGAGGGCACCACTCGATCCCTCCTGATATATGGCCATAAATAGGTAGATAGAAGAATGATAGATGTATCATGCATAACTAGAGTTTGAAGGGTCCCCAGAGGACATCCAGTCCAGCCCTATTCATGGCAAGCATAAGGGCACCACTCGATCCCTCCTGACAGATGTCCATAGATAGGTAGATAGATAGATAGATAGATAGATAGATAGATAGATAGAGGAATGATAGATGCATCATGTAAACCTAGAGTTGGGAGGGGCCCCCAGAGGACATCCAGTCCATCCAGATTCATGGCAAGCATGAGGGCACAACTTGATCCCTCCTGACAGATGTCCTTAGATAGATAGATAGATAGATAGATAGATAGATAGATAGATAGAGGAATGATAGATGTATCATGCAGATCTAGAGTTGGGAGGGGCCCCCAGAGGACATCCAGTCCATCCCTATTCATGGCAAGTATGAGGGC